GCCACCTTACTTATTTCTGCCGCCAAGCAGTAGTGTGAGCATAGCTACGTTTCGATTTTCAAGGGTCAGGGTGCTGGTGAAATTACAGGCGCATAGGACTTTTCAACTTATGTTTTAGGGTGACGGGCACAGTGGCAGTACCCCTCATGTTTGTGTGATTTAAAGCTGTGAGTGGCACTGCAACTGTTATGGATAGCCGTGTCGCTTACTACCAGGCGCACGACTTGTTTGTCCCGTCACTTGATATCACGAAGGAATGCATGATGTGTCTCTGTTTTTTGTATAAATTCCATTGGAAATAAAACTATTTGTTCTGATTTATATCACATATTTTTTCATAAAATCCAACGTTTTGGGAATTTTTCTTTACAGGTCCCATTGTCACGGTTCACTGGATGACAGAATGAAAAAAAATATACGCTATTTAGATTCAATAAATCTCCAATGTGTAACAATCGCGGAAATACACGAATCATTTATATATACATATCGAGATATAAGTATCTATAAATTTCATGTTAAGACATTTCACATTTTTTGCAGTAAGTCTGTGTTGTACCTTAAGTGCGATATTTAGAGCTGTTACACACGGCGACTTTTGAACGCGCGTTTGCATTGCTTCCAAAACTCGCCCTGTGTGCCACTCATAGATTTGTTATGCTCACCTGTGATAGATTAATACGTATTTATTTGAGTACCTTCGTGGTCGAGTAGCTTACACACTGGTTTTTGTAGTGTCGCCATCGCTGAGGTCACGGGTTCGATCGTCGGCCGGGTTCAGAACTAACTTTCCAAAATTGTCTCGGGCGTTTGTGGTACTATCGTTGTTTCCGATTTCCGTAACACAAGTGCTTTAGTCACTTTAGGATCAGTGCGACGTATGTGATGTTGTCTAATATTTATTTATAATATTTATTTAGTTGTCTTACTTGTTTCCATGTAGTAACCAAATAACGAAGGAAAATAAACGCTAAAACGCCTTGTTTATCTCACGTTCTGCTGTTGTTCTTACGTAAGATTTCTTAGAATATCCGTTACTGGACCTGACAAACATTTGTTTAGCACAGAGTGGTATCTAGGAGCAGGTGTACTTTTATTTAACCACAACATTGATATGTAAGGATTCAGCCAAGGGATTCTCTTAGATTTGTTGTCGAAATCGTGTCCACGTCTTGTAACTCCATCGACAATAGAGTTACAAGAATTGTGCACATAATTATAAATTCGCATAATTTTGGCACCCCTCATGGAAGAATGGCATAAGTGGAGTTACGTCAAAAACGTTTATTGCTCCATTAGATACAGAAAAATATAACCCACATCCTCTTCAATTCTTGTAACTGTATCGACTAATATTGTAGACATACAAGAATTGGAGAGGATGTGGGTTACATTTTTCTGTATCTAATAAACATTTTTGACGTAACTCCGCTTAAGCCATTCTTCCATGAGGGGTGCGAAATTATTTACACGTATGGTGTACGTGGGACGCAACGCCCTAGTATTGAGCGTAAACTGTACTATTGTTCATAAAGATACTGTCTCTTTACAAAGAGACCCCTAAATTTTCTTACTCATTTTTCACAACGAAATCTGCCTTACGAATAAATGATTTATCAATTACACTATTTCAATGAGGTTAGGATATTTAAATTTTAACAAGGCTTTAGGCCTTAAGGCTTTAGGCTTAAGAGTCTATACAACCTCAAATGGCTTTGGTTCATTCCGCATAACAGTGAAAGTGTTTAATGAATCACTTTGGAAAAAAGTATATAATTATAGTGAAATTGAAGATATAATGATTACTATTATGGTGTGAAAACATAAATAGATTATATTATAGATTAGAGCTTAGTCCAAACTCATGGTACCACGATTCGTTAACCAAGGTAAACGACTGTTTTATGGGGAACTGTATACGTTTTCACAATAAGATTCCGGAGCATATATTAAGTTTATCATTTCCTAAGTTTAAAAACTACATTAAAAATATTTTGATCGAAAAGTCATATTACAAAATTGAAGACTACTTGTTAGATAGAGATGTATGGAAAGACGACACGGCTCCAGAATCCACACAAATTTGATTCAAAGTGTATTCCATAGCATTTAAGTTTATTTGAAAAGAGCAATCCCTAGAGTTTCTTGCTCGTTCTTCTCAGGGAAGTCAGCGTAGTGAACGAGCAGTAGCTTAATGTAATGTAAATGTGACGTTTTCAAGTGTAAATCTATTTTACCTATGGAATAAATGATCTTTGACTTTGAATCCTAAAATTTTCACGATAGAAAAAAAACACAAAGTTACCTCGAAATTTTACAAGAAAACCACTGTATTAAATAGGTACTTCATTTAAACCAATAATTTTTTTTTTTATATCAACTAGATTAAATAGAACACATTTTCAAATAGCTGTAATTTCGCTTGTAAAAAAAATAATTCTGAAATAAAGTAATTGTAACCGCCGCACGACCTAAACAAAATAAACTGTGTTGGTACAGGAAAAATTAGAATTCGAACTGAGGTAGTATCAACTCTAAGATCTCGATCTAAGTATGTCGATTAGGTTAAATGCCCGATGGCATATCTGTGTAATCTAACACAGATATTTATGTTCCACTCCCCTTTAAGACACATGTTTTTCTCTCAGTCCTTGTGATCAATGATGTGAGTGCTCTTTAACCCCAAGAAAGGACACTTTCCCGAGGGCTAATTACGGCGGCCATTATTGAGAATGGTGTGTGGTTTTGTGCAATTAGCCATTCGAAGGGAAAACGCCTTTGTAGAATGTAGGCTGGTTATTAAAGATCCTTATTCTTGAGGTTTTGTGCCATTAGACATTGTGAGTGTTTGCTTTTGTTAAAAAGGTCTTTGTAAGGCACATACTATTAGTATCGGGATGTTAAGGGTACGTATTCTGGAATAGGTCGGGCTATTGTTTGCAAATTACGCATACTTTTGCAAATTACGCATACTAAAGGCAAAGGACATTTTTATCAATGTGCATATATCTTATGCTGTTTCAATTTGTAATAAGGTAGATATAAATTGCAATGCTCTGAGAATCATTTCGGAGCATCGCGACGCATTTCTCTCTGTGTCTCTGTTTAATAGTATAAAATATACATTGATAAATTTAATGTCCTTGCCGTCCGCCGGTTTGCGCTAACCCTTTTCTGGAATCGAATAAAAAAAAACTCTTTTTTTAAATGTAAAATAGACGAGTGCTTAGCCACAGTCTCAATTGACACTAACAACAACAATAACAACAACGCTACACACTCATAGCCCCGAACTAGGGAAACCTGTATCGCGGGTGCCATGGATACACACATAGACAACCCAACACAAATTACACCCAAACTGCCGAGAGAAATAAATGTAAGCCGTACTCTGCGTGGCAGTCCAGTATGATCCGTTCACGGCAGTTAAGCGACGATGTTACACGTCTGTCTAGTACAGTGTGTTTTTTTTGTAAAGTTTGCTACCATACAATTTAGCTGCTATTGCTCCTTGTAAAAGAGTTCATCCAGGGAAATACTGCCACCTTGCCTATTTCTGCTGCCAAATAGTAATATGAGCATTACTGCGTTCTGGTTTTGAAGTGTATGAGTACTGGTGAAATTACAGGCACATGGGACTTGTTTTATGTCTCTCGGTGACTGAGTGCCCGTCAGAGCTGAGTGGCACTGGTACAGCTATGGACAGGCGTGTCGCTTACCACCAGGTGCACAACTAATTCATCCCGTCGCTTGATCTACTTAAAAAAAGATCCGGGAAAAAATTGTTTACAACAATCGCGGAAGAACTAGAAAACAAATATCCACATATTTACCATATTATATTACTTATTTGTTGTTCTTCTTAGTATTCTTAATCAAAAATGTTTTTGACTTATGTGAAGTAAATAGTTCCTGGAACAGCGAAAATGGCTTCGTATTTTTCAATACATTCCATTTTATTCTATTGGTTTTCACTAGGTAATATTCCTCCTGAAACTGAGGTTACGTAAGGTAGAAACTGTAGGTACATTTATCTTAACAACGTGAACACGTTTGCCTGTCGTCTCCGAGACGCCCGTCACTTCCAGTAGATTAGTTCAACTTTCAGGTGCAATTCTGCCAATACGATCGCAAGCTTCATTGCGTCACTGTTGTGATATATTTGCTTAAGTTAATCGTGAAATAAAACATATAACTTTTATTACATATAATCTGGGACAAACCTTCCATCTTCCCTACAAAACAACCAACCAACCACATTCGTTAAAAGGTATGAGTCGTGGAAGATGAATGCCGTATCCCCAAAAGATTTTAGCGCATATTTCTGGACTCGATACAAATTCTTAGCTACAATCTGCGTCATTTCATTCTATTGCTTCTGCTGGGCATAGCTTTGGTTTATGAAAAAGGTATCGAGCTGTAGCAAGTTAGCATATTCATTTTAGAACATTTGGAAGCTTATTAGTACGTGTACGCAAGAATTGAAAATACAGTGGGGTTTTCAGTCTCGATTTTATTCATTCAGCCCTGTATTACCCATTGACGGGTATAGGCTTCCTTTCGCTCCTGCCAAATTTCCGGTCCTGTGCATCTCTGGTCCTGGTGTTGCCCCCGACTTTTACAATGCTATCGACCCAGTGCGCCATAGGATGACCTGGATTTCTTCGACCTATCCTTGACCACCGTCACTCCGTCAAGGCGTTTATCCAGCGGCCATCACCACGACTAGCTAGATGTCCTGTTCAGCTCCATTTAAAGTCTATAACACAGTTCCTAACGTTTTGAACTTTCGTCTGACGTCGGATATCCGTGTTTCGACAACTTAAATTAGAATGAATATTACTGAATGCCAGCTTCAGGATATCGAAGCTGCTGGCAGCATTTACCTACAGGCGGTCACCTGTATGCTTAGAATTAAGACCTGAATTTTCCTTCCGTTGATTTTTTGGACATAATATTATTTTAACAATTGCTGATTGTGGATGTCTTTTTGTCCCCAGGAGTCTTATACAGAAGTACCGGTGAACGTTGCTGGGGACTCGGAACTGGTGGAGCATTGTCATTGGAAGGCCAAAGCAGAACCTCCTAGCGCCATACCACAACTGCTGGCAGCTCTGGTGCTATGTGGATTGTTTATGGTAAATTTTTTTTGACACTGTACGCCGACATTTGATAAAGCTACTAAAATAGCATTTTCTGTGACATCTGAGGGCTACTTTCGATATACAAAGGAGATACACGAATTGAAATCCTAAGTCTCAAGGTTGCAAGCTTGGATAATATATGGCAATAATGGCACGTGCGTTTTCAAGCACGTGCCATTATTGCAACAATTAATGCAACCAACGAACCTTTCTTCTTATTTATCTTTACGGAAAGGGCCCGTAAGCTCTTTGAAATTTTGAAAGGAATCCATGACTAGAAAAAGGTTAAGAAACCCTGGTCTAATATAATTCTGACTTCACAAAAAACAAAATCTTCTAATCGTGGACAACTCCAACTCCTTAACTGCCCATTATAGTTTGCCACCTTGTAGCCACTAAACTGCTAAACGGATCTTGAAAAGTAATATTCTTTTCCCTAGATATGCCAACTGGTGGGCGGGTATCTGGCTGGGAGTCTATCCGTAATGTCCGACGCAGCGCACATGCTAAGCGACTGCGGAGGCTTTGCGCTGGCACTTCTGGCCTTCCATTGCGCTAAACGCAACCCTGACTTGAAGATGTCCTATGGATACAAACGAGCCGGTGAGTCCTGTTATCTATTCTATCGGGATATCACATGCTGCGAGTGTCGCCAATTTTGCGACTTTGTCTCTAGATTAAGCGACATTTTGACATCAAAAGCGACATTTTATTTCTATTTAGCGACAAAAACTTAGTGATTTTTTGGCTCGTATTTTATTAAATTTAACCTTTTAACATTTAATAAGATTTTATCTTAGCTTTCGGCGCCTTTTGTCTGTGCCACAGCATAACCATAAAGTTCTTGCCCATTAAATGGACCTTATAATGGGTAGGTATCATAAAAGTCGGATTTTATGAACGGAAATACAAGTTTAGGGACATCTGGCAACTTTTAAACCTTCTGATTAGCGATATTTGCTTTAGTCTAGTTGGCAACACTGCATACTGCACACCCCGTTCTTTTCCTGATACAAAGGACAAGGTATATTCTGTTGGGCACCAATCTTGAAGTGTAGTTTGAGTCAAACTCTTTCTAGCAATGACTTATAAATGGTAGTTAGTACGGAAACGGGCGACATGAGAAGTACGTTGCGTTTCGACCGATGGTATACCCTGCCTTTAACTTTCTAACTTGAAAGTCATCGTGATTTTCAGAGTGAACTATGATATCCTATATTTTCGAGAAAAATCGATTAATGGACTTCAGCCATTGAAACATAGTATAATAAGACAAGTAGTGTTAACTCCACACAAATGCAGCAGCGCGCTGTGTGCGGATGCACACATTCGCACAATATCGCGTTACACTCGAGTTGCATAACATGGATCGTCCTACGCACCATTCGACAATGACATCAAATACCTAGTAAACGTGTTTATTGTTTATAGTAGTTTGAACAATAGTGCCTGAAATTCAGAATTGTTAAGCATTTCATTTCTATTTCACAATCATACTTTCTTTTATGATACCAAGTCAACGGGACGAACGATACAACTTGTTGTAAGTGGTGCCTGGTGGTAAGTGTAGCATTTGACAAAGGTTATTTCTAAAAGGATAAAAAATTTGGTGTTCATGACAGCATGAGCATCAAATTTTTTTCAAAATATATTTACAACTTACAGGAAGTCTAAACTTATGGGACAACCCTACACTCCCAGTGAAGTGTAGAGGCATTGTCGTGCCGAACAGGAAGGAGTTGCGGAGATTTTATGTCGAGAATATCTCGGTTCCGTATAATGTTCCTCGTAAACCTTTGTCTCCACATTTTTTAAACATCACGAAGCAGAAATAATTTAGGCACCCATTCTCCTGTGAATAGAATCAAAATGGTATATGGGGAGCTTTGTAGTCGAGTGCCGATGGATGTTTTCAATAACTCCATGTCCTTGTTTAGACATCGTGTATAGCAATCGTTATCAGGTAATTTAAATGAAAATAATATAAAATAATATATTGTTTTAGTATTGATTAAGTAAGTGCCTACTGATAAGTGTCAAATTTATGGTATAAAATCATATTATTAATTTATAGTTATATGAATTCAATTCTGATTATTTCAAATTCAAATTGTTTGTTTGTTTAATGTGACAAATCATTTATGAAAGTTGTGTACTCCTTAATGGGATATTATGCATTAGAAATTAAAATTATTGTTTCAGTTTTTACTTATTAAACACCTTATATAAAATTAAAAGCAGTTACTATGGTATGGGTCTCGAAATGTATCGGGTTTTCACATTTAGGCTCAACTCACACTGGCACAGAGTCGCGTCCTGTTTTTCAACTACAACGCATGCGTTGTAGTTGAGTTGTGAGTTGAGCCTTAGACAGACTCCTGATCTGAAGATGGCTAATGGTATGAACGAATTGGTGAATGATGGCAAAGTCCTAGAGTGATTTAAAATGAGCTTGACAGTCGCACTTTAGATTACGATACTATGAAATCATAATAGCCATGATCCAACCGTGTCATGGTCGCCAACCTCCCGGCGTGATGTAGTACGTAACTACGTTAAAAACCAAGTATATCGCAAGACATATGAGGCACATTATTGATTAAAACTGACTTTCTAAACATTTGTAAAAGTTTCTCAAATCAATTGTTTTTCTATTATGTCATCAAGTGACGGAATGAAATAGTGTATCTGGTAGTAAGCAACACTCCTACCAATATCAGTTGTAGTGTCATTCAGAGCTTCAAGTCGCAAACAGGGGCACTGCCACTGCGCAACTCTTGACTGTCAACTTATGTCACCCTGAGATATAAGTTGACAAGTCCCATGTGCTTGTAATTTCACCAGTACCTTTACTCTTCAAAACGGTAACGCAGTAATGCTTACAATACAACTTGGCGACAGAAATAGGTATGATGGAAGGAGAGCTCTACTGCTACTTACTATACAAGATATTTTAAAGTTCTTCTAAGGTTGAGTAGCGCCAACAAAGAGAATTTCATTACCGGGAATTCCCTAGTTTGAGACCAGGTATTTGTTTGATACTTTAAGGAGTCACGACACTTATTCACGCGAAATCGGCTTGAGCCGGATCTTATAGAAGTGCCTTAAGCCTCGATTAGTATCAGAACCGCTGTCGTCAAAACGCACACAAATAAATGATAAACACTATGAAATCTTGAAAATGATTGGTGAAAGTTTCTAATTTAAAACGATGCAAAAAAATCTGGACTGTTAATATAATTTGAACTTTACCCAATCGTTATATCGTTGAAAGTCCAATACCTTTGCTAACGTGCTGCCATCTTCCGACCAGTAGCTAGACTACGACGAACGACTAACATCTGAACGAATACAAAGTAGTATCTTCTCGACAACAGATGTCTTCTTTAACGCACGCAAAGAACTTTATTTCGATCAATTAAGTTTCATTTTAACAAAACCCTCATGCAGCATTTTTTTTCGCATAGCTTTGGTTAGCTACTAGCGTGGAAAATTCGAGATCTTTACCTAGTTCTCCAAAAGATAAAATTCGACCAATATGCATTGGGATAATGTTTACATTCGTTTATTACAATACAAAAAATCAATTCGATAAACAAAATGGAAAATTTATTAAAATAAGGCTTACAGATGATATGCAATACCACCACGGATAATATTTTTGGTGCGGCTATTATTTTTGCACTTCAAAACAGCACAATAAGGCATTTCTAGGACTTTAGACAATTTGCACGAAAGAATGACTCAACCATACCGTACACAGCTAAAATGGCGGACTGAGCTCAAATATAGGCAACTGTCTTTACTGTGGTCACGCGTTCGATGCTAACTAACCACTTCTACTAGTATTTATTGTTCTGTGGAAAAAGACATAGTGCATTTCGCGGCAGTAGTCTGAGGCGAAAGCGAAATGCCCTACGTGTCCTTATCGGTCGACTTAAGCCGCCTTTCTGTTTTTCAGAGGTCCTCGGGGCCATGGTATCAGTGCTCCTTATCTGGATCCTAACAGGAGTTTTCGTCTACATGGCAATAGTGCGATTACATAAGGGGGAATACAACATTGAGCCGGACATAATGATGCTCGTCTCCGGGTGTGGTGTGGCCTTTAACGTTATTCTCGCTCTCGTTTTGCACGGATGTGCTTCAGATATAGGTAAGTAAAAAGTATTATATTTATTGGTAGTTCAATGAATACAGTGTTTTTTGAATGGGACAATATGGGGAAATCCGAAAGCATAGAAGATACAAGGAAACTGTCTTAGGAACCATTAAGTATTTATTTGTGAAACAATTTTGGCATAATCAATTTTTTGGTCAAGCCCGAGATGTCCATAAAAATGATAAAATTGATAAAATTTTTTTTAGTGCTGATCGACTCAGTTTTATTTAAATAAAATTTACGGATCATCGTTGTTGACACACTCATAGACAACCAAAAATTGCACTCAAACTCACGAAGACAAATATTTCTCCCGGCCCGGGAATCTGTTCTGTTATAGTTAATTAAGTAAAATTCCACATTTGGTCTTCTAATCTTTATTCCGATCAGCTTCGTACAAACACAAGAAGAGAGAGTATATTTTACGCGGGCTGTCAATGTGACAGACGTCATAGGGATATGCCTACTACAACATCCTTTCTCTACAGTTAGTCACTAACAAACAAATAGTTCTTATTTCCTAACACAACAGAATCGAACACGGGACCTCTGCGCGGCATGGTGACCGTCCGTCCACAGAGGCAGTTAATATTAGTTTCATTCAGTTATTAGCTACTTTTTGTTTTCATAAGCTCTCTTTCTCAGCGCACCACCACAGCCACGGCGGTGCAGCCTGCAGCCACACACACGTGCACACGCACGCGCACGCGCCGCAATCTTCGCCTCGCCGGTTCCGTTTCTGGAAGCGAGCGAACCACAAGCACGCCAACGGCACGCTCAACGGAGATTACAGCATGAAAGAGCTTCCCAGCACTGACACTGTTATTACGGGCAATCGCAATAGGTGAGTTTACAATTCGCTAAATAACCTCTTCCTCTCTTCGCTAAATACGGTATCTGATATTTTGCCGGAACTGAGTAATAAATACAATAAAAATGGAATAAAATTACTTTGGTTCTCCGCGAACCCAGTGGATGTTAAGTGTTGATATGTTCACCCTCGCCCCGTATTGTATTAATAAAAGTAATAACACATAATGCCTAAGTTCCCCAAGACGCGGGTTTTCAGTCAGAACATATGCAATTACACCAAGAAAAAATAATAATGGAAGAGCCTTAAGCCTCAATTACTATCAAAACCGCTGTCGTCAAAACTCACACTATCATAATGTTAAGCACATATGAAATCTTGATAATGGTTGGTCGTAGTGTCTAATTTAAAAAGATGTAACAGATTCTGGACCGTTAATATAATTTAAACTCTACCCATTTGTCATGTCATATTGCAACTTACGACGTTTTGATTTTATATTGAAGTGTCATGCAATGTGCTGCCATCTAGCGGCAAAATAGCAACGAATAATTAATGCCTATTAATGTTCTCCAAACAAAGGTGATTATATTGCAGCTGTACAAGGTTTAATTTCGTTTTTTATTACAAAAAAATGTATTACGATAAACAAAAAATGGAAAAATTTATTAAAATTAAGTAAAATAACACTTAACGATGAAAAAGGAGGCATTTTTCACGATTTTCGAGCTTTTGCACGAGATAATTGACACGACCATAAACCATACTAAGCCTAAATGGCAGACTAAGCTCAAGTATGCGGAACGTACTGTTGGCACGCGTGACACGTCCACTAAGCGCTTTTGTTGCAGTTATTGTTCTGTGTACTACCCCTATTTTACCACCCCTATTATCGTTATAATTTGTAATAAAGCTCACAAGTATGATACGAGCTGTAGTTCAAGTTGTCAAGTGTCATTCATATTGCCCTGAAAAGCAATGGGAATTGAAAGAAAATACAAGGTTGGCACTATTAAATAAATAATTTTAATTGAAGTGATTTAAATCAAATTATTTTTTTCAATGAAAATCAGTGATTTAATCAAATATGTTTAATTTTATTTTCTTTCACAGAAACCAATATAAAATCAGACAATTATATTTTAAAGACTAGGGTCTTTTACATCTGAGAAATCAATATCATTATTATAATGCTTATACGAAAAAGTAGCTTGCCGCGATTCATTAGGCTTTAACATTACTACGTTTTACGCAACAATATAGTTAAACTGTATGATAAAATGAAAAGATAAAAAAATCGTGATTAATTAGGATTTTTTTAAATCGTGCATTATTCTATTTTTTCAAAAAATCATAATTATTTTCCAACCCTGAGAAAAAATGAAGAATGTATAATGAATTCGTGATAAAGATGTTTAATTGGTTAACTTGCAGAATTCCAAAAGTGGATTGAGCAATAGGAAACAAACTAAAAAGTCTTCTGTAGTTCATTTCAATACAGACAAAACAAAGTACATAACATTCACGAAGCGGGGTTGTGTGGCTAATTTACCTTTTTCTATTGTTGCACATAAATGTCCTCTCCCGCACGAGGTCCATTGTAACTGCCCCCGATTGGACAGAGTTAGGTCCATTAAATACCTTGGGATACTAATAGATGACAATCTCAGTTTTAGTAACCATGTTGATATGCTGGTATCTAGGGTACGTAAACTGATATATATTTTTAAAAATTTGCGTAATGTTGCTGACCATGGTATAATCAAAATGGTATACATAGCGTTGTGTCAATCTATACTTTGCTACTGTATAACTACTTGGGGCGGTACTCACAAATCTATTCTATTAAAATTAGAAAGATCCCAAAGAGCGGTACTCAAGACTTCCCTAAATCTTCCTTTTCGATTTTCCACAACAGAGCTGTACAAATTGTGTACAGTGCATACGGTACGACACCTTTATATTTTGTGTGCTATCGCGCAATTACATTCTCAGTTACCGTACGATCCCGCTATGTTAACGACTAAAAGACGTAAGGATATTGTTTGTCGTTCTTCGATGCACTCAGGGTTCTCTCATAGATCGTTTTCGTTTTTGGCTGGTTTCATATATAATAAAATAAATAAAATTTTAAATATATATATAAATAAAAATTATTGTAAACAAACTGTTTCGAAATGGCTACTTACTTTCAATTGTGATCAGACGGAAAATCTATTGGTAATGAATATATAGCATTTAATTAAATTACATTCTCGGATCTATTTGGAGATATTTTACCACGGTAATCACATATTCAAACTTTTCTCACGCACCTTTCTGTCGCATTTACAGCGCACATACTTACACACACATGCGCCAACACACACGCGCACACACACACACACACACACACACACACACACACACACACACACAC